AGGTGCCCTGAACTGGAAACAGTTATTATCTGAATAACTTCCAAGAAGAACCAGAGATACAACAATTAGTTGGTATCGCAATCTTTAATTCCGTTTTTCTCGAAATGGGGTTTTTGGCGTTCTAAACTTTGAAATTCTGTAACTCACCGAATTTTTAACCAAAAAAGTTTAATAACTTAAAGAAGATAATCAAAAAATAAAATTTTATTTTGCACAAAAATAATTAATCGAAATCTTTATATTCGTAATTTTTACAGGTGAAGAACATGTAAAACGCTTAAAAATTATAGATTCAAAATCAATTTTAATGGCAATACTATTTTCACACCGTGAGCGTTTTAACCTGCGTACCACAGTGTGTCTCAACGTGCAGACCTCGCTGTTATTTTTTTAAAGCTTTGAAATTATTTGTAGATGTTAACGTATGTCTAAATTTTCGTCGGAACATTAAAGTAGAATCAAAATTGATATGTAAATGTTATTCGCACTTTTTTCTGACACAAAAAAAAAACACTAATTACACTAAACAGAAATCCTGAAAAATACTTTTTTTTAACTAAAAAATTGGTTCGCTCTAGTTCTACCAAAAAAGCAGCAGTTATCGCGCTTTTATTGAATAAAAAGTTTGGTATTAATGATACGACAAAATGCCAATAAACTTTTTGGGATTATCAGTTACACAGGTTATAATATCTTAGTGTCTCAACGTGCGTACCTCTCCCCTATATATATCACTGAAAAAACCTTGTCTGAATATGAGTAGCGTAGGCTACTCATTTCAAGTTACAACAAAAATGAGACTGGGTTTTTATGTATATGAAAACTTACAATGAGGCGGACATATAATGAATTTATAGTAAGTTTATTTTGAATTTACTCACGAACTTGCCGAATATCCCTAGTATGTTTAAAATAAAGTCACAGAAAAAACCAGGCCTCGTATAGATGGCACTACGTTTTATACCGCTTAACATTGGCTTAGTATGAGACGCATCGAAAATTAGCCCAATTCGGTGCCTTCAGCTAGATAATGTTCTATGTATGGGTTATTAAAATATTCTTCTTTACTATAATTACCGTTTTCTCAAATCAAAAGACTCTGAACCTGTTATTAATAAAATAATATTGAATTAACTTTACATTTTATTTCTGATTTATTTTCCATTAATGGTAATAATTATTTGTGATAGTCCTAATATTATCTAATCCTTAATGCAAACACTTGAATAACTTACGTTCAATACACACATATGGATAATTTACTCACTAGGATATTTTAAAAGTTACCATCTTGCTTTTAAATTAATTAAATTCAGTCTATTTTTTCAATAAATAGGAAAATTCTTCAGAAACATGTAAATTATAGTTTTAGTAATGTAAAATGAATTCGTTAAAAAATATGTAAGAATAAACAATGACTTGCTAAAAAAGGTCGTTTTATGTGAGATTAGTTCAACCATATAAAAAATTAATTAGATTTTTATTTTTTTGTAATTTGGAATTACATTTATTCTTTAATTCTTTAGGTGTAGTTTATTTTCACGACTATAAGTTGCAGTAATGATACTCAACATTGAGATTATACATACAAAAAAATAAATAGTTGACACATATGGATATAACAGCCATATTATATTGGAAAAATGGATTATCCATAGTCATGGATACTTCAGCCATATGCAAAAGCTGCAATTTTTTGTATGCACGGAGAAACAGGAATTGTTAAGGGGTTACACCACCCTGAACGCCTGAAAATTTTAAAAATAAATTTTGACAAAACTACTAAAAATAAAACTTTTTACTAATTACAGTATAAAAAAAACATATATTTAACTGTAAAAAAAATTTTGAAAAATGAAAAAATATTCAAAAATGGCGAAGATATGGCGTTCTTTCGAAACTACATTTTTCGGAACGGTGTACATGATTTCTCAAAAACTACTCAACCGATTCTCTTTTAATTTTGTACACAACTGCTCAATAGGGTGTCCCAAAAAAATAAAAACTTTTTTTTTATTGGGTCTCATCCCCTAAAAATCTTTCAATTTGTGTAAAAATAAGAACACAATATTTGGAAATAAAAAATTTTAATATTAACCTGTGGTTCAGACCCTTTGAACCATAAAAACGCTAAAAATTTAGTGTTTTTTCATTTGTAATATAAATATAAATGTCAAAATATAATGAATAGGGTGTCATTGTAAAGATAATTAAATTACCTTTCGATCCATATGTCACAGTATATCATTCAATGAAAATTAAGAGTGTTACAGTCGATTAAAGATCAAATTTCATGGAAATTTTGATGATTTTTAGACACTTAAGTAACTTGTAATTTTTTCACATTAAACAGTAAAAAATATTTAGATTTTAATTTTTTTATTGAGAGTCTGTAACATTACAAAAATCCATAATTTGATCGTCGATTAAATTCGTCTCAAAATCCGTTACCCGATTTTGAGACTAATTGGATCGACTTTTATAAAGTTCTCCGCCATTTTGAAATTTGAAAAACTGACATTGGACTCTAAATCAGCGAGGTCCACAAGGGCTAAAAATTTTCGTAATGTTACAGACTCTCAATAAAAAAAACCTACATATTTTTTACTGTTTAATGTGAAAAAAAGTACAAGTTACTTAAGTGTCTAAGAAATAAAAATTATCAAAATTTTCATGAAATTTGATCTTTAATCGACTGTAACACTCTTAATTTTCATTAAATCTTATACTATGACATATGGATCGAAAGGTAATTTAATTATCTTTACAATGACATGCTATTCATTATTATTTTGACATTTATATTTATGTTAAAAATGAAAAAACACAAAATTTTTAGCGTTTTTATGGTTCAAAGGCTCTGAACCACGGGTTAATATTAAAAAATTTTATTTCCAAATATTGTGTTCTTATTTTTACACAATTTGAAAGGATTTTAGGGGATGAGACCCAATAAAAAAAAACTTTTTATTTTTTTGGGACACCCTACTGCTCAATAACATTCTCTATGGCATGACGTAGCCGTTTTTAAAAAAAACCTTTTTTGAGCAAATGGGAGCACTTAAAAAAAAGTCTAAAATTTTGGGGACAAAAATTTTTCTTTAAAAATGTATAACTTTTTTTAAAAAAATCATATCAAAAAAATCCTACGTCATGCCATAGAGAATGTTATTGAGCAGTTGTGAACAAAATTTGAAGAGAATCGGTTGAGTAGTTTTTGAGAAATCATGTACACCGTTCCGAAAAATGTAGTTTCGAAAAAACGCCATATCTTCGCCATTTTTGAATATTTTTTCATTTTTCAAATTTTTTTATACAGTTAAATATATGTATTTTTATACTGTAATTAGTAAAAAGTTGTATTTTTAGTAGTTTTGGCAAAATTTATTTTTGAAATTTTCAGGCGTTCAGGGTGGTGTAACCCCTTAAATCTACTAGCGGATTGTTAATATAGAACTAGCAAATCTGATTTGTTGTTGCAACAATTTTTTTTGTTCTCTAAACAAATTAATTGTTATCACAACTATTTCGATTTGATTTGCTAGTTCTTTATTAATAATCCGCCAGTATATTTAACAATTCCTTTTTCTCTGTGTGGTTGGAGCAACAAGAGAAATATGGTTGGGTGAGTTATTCTATACAGATTGTTTTATTTATTAACACATACCGCACTCATCGAATAGCCGCATATGTACGAAATAAATTATTATTAACCAATGGGGGAGGACACGAACTCTGGATTTAACGCATACTGAACACTAACACTCTTCTACTACACTATACACGCAACAATAATATTGGAGCATCTTATGTACTCATTATATTCTACACGGAGAGACCGAGGTTACTAATTTTTTGTATAAAATCACACTAGAATTTACTATTTTCACATTGCAACCACCGGAAATAAGGGGAATTTTTGTATTTTTTACTATTTTCTTCACTAAGTCACTAATCCGACAAATGTTCACCAAATTAGCAAAGTTTCTTACTATTTCGCCCAATAGTTCCAAACAACTGTAGTAAACTCAGAAGTATTGTGTACATAAAATTACTATAGTCGTTTGTAAATGCAGAAAGAAAGAGTGAAACAAAAAATACGGATTTTTATCGCCGGTTTTCCGTCAATTCTTGACTAATGGAGATAAACTGGAAGGATTTATTTTTACATACACATACACACACACACTTACACACTTATATATTTGTTGGATAAATATTTGAAGACACACACGTGTTTATTTCACTTATATGTATAGACGCGGTTAATTAATACACTAATACACAACTGCACGCACGACAACGAATTTCACTGAAAGTATACATCTTTGTTTCCTTATATATTGAATGATGAAAATTTACAGCACTTACGAGAAAGCAGTTTACTTTTAACAACTTATTATAAGACATAGTTCTTGGGACAGGAATAAATGCAAAATTTATTAATTTATAATGGTCAATTTCTGAGATAACGAACGACCTACGTTTCACTTTATATTTAATTATTGTAGATAATATCCAAATTTATTTTACATACGCGAAACATAGTCACTGTCAATGATCGGATGGCATCGGCTCATTTACGGAGATTGACGAAGTTAGCAACCAATAGAAATGCAGGCGCCATATGACTGCACTCGCTAGCCACACTTGCTCACCAAAAATTACTACAGTGGATAGTAGGTTTTAGTGGAAAATGTTTTCATTTGTCAGATTTTGTCTAATTAAATTAGGGAAAACTATAATCAACTTTTGCTACATTTACAACTCTTACACAAAATATTAAAACTTGCTATTTCAATGTAGCAAATGTATCTATTTCTTTTGTAAATTTATCTAATTCTGTAGTACATTATGCTAAAAGTCCCCTTATTTCCGGTCATTGCAACCATTTTTAGTAATTTTTACAAATGTGGGTCTCTCCGTGTACACATTACATAAAAATAAATTTTGAAAATGAATGATAAATAATTAACAATATTAACGTTCATTTTAAAAGGGGTGTCGTGAAAATAACTTGAGCGCACTATTTATCAAAAATTTTAAATTTTCAACTAAATATGAATCTCCGAAGCATAGAAACATAGAATAAACAGCCCCACATATGTGATAATCCATGTATCTGAATTGGTAAGCTCAACTATAAATATGGTTGGCACATCCATATCTCATATGCGACAATATAATATGGCTCACACATCCATAGTATTTGGAAACTTTTTCCATGCGAAAAGTTGTCCTTTCCATTTCATTGCATAACGCAACAATATTATGCTCAATAATATTTCTTTCTTTCCGTGTAGTTGTCACTGCAAATATAGTTTGAAAATTTGTATTTCAGGAATAGGATGGATAAAAATGAGAAGGAACAAGTTACAAATTTGAAAAAATTTTCAATAAAAAGGAATTACACGGCAAGAAATTGTTCTGGAGAAAGTACGGATTATAATTCAGTAACACAGAAAATCGCGACCATTTCAACAGAAATTCAAACTTGTCTTTTTGGATAAGTAATAAACCCTTTTGGAAATAATACAAAATATTTCGTCACATTCTACTAAAATGAACATGATGAATATTCCAAGAAGGAATCATAAATAGAAATTTTCTTACATTTTTCATTCGCCAAATGCGCGTAAATGCTGTATTAAAGCAAACAAATAAATAAAATAAATATATTCGGAGAGTTGCTCTCCTTTTTAGGCGAGTTGGCGAACCATGTTCAAGCAACTTCAGACCTACTTCTGGGTCAGATACTTTTTGGAAAAACTGCTCTCCCAAATGTGATGCAGCTTCAAACTAAAATCAAAGTAACGCTATCCTACCACCTGTAACGCAGTACTCCTCGCCAGAGTTTTAATACTCCATCGTAATTCGTAATGATTTCGTAATGATTTTTCTGACTTTTTAGAAAATACTAAATTTCCTTTGAGAAAGTACAGAAAGAAATTACTCAATTATTTTTAGGTTTTCCTAAAAAGTTTCGTAGTATTAACTTAACATTGTGTACTTCTCACTAAAAATTCTGGAATACCTACGACACTGGCCCTCGTATCGTAGGTTACTGAAATAGTGGAGTACTTTTTTCGAAACAATTTTTTTTCATGTAAAAAATAAATTCTTTGGTCAACATTTTTCCTAAAAACAATGGTTATATTTTTTTAGTTACTGCGTCTAAATTTTTGAGTTGTCGCTTTTAATTCATTTACTTTTAAATTCCTTCAGGTATGCATTATAAAATTCTTATTAATATTCCAAAATATATGTTTCAAAGTTTATGAATATTTCGGAATCAAGTTGTTTCCTTTTGTGGAATGAAAAGTTTCTCAACATAACATTTTATATTATAGCAATATTACCGTAAATGTTACATGTAATGCAGCAACATTACGTGTAATATTACAATGTAATAGATATTTTAAGTGTTTTGTGATATCACTGTCATACTGCATCGTACATGAGGAGAAAAGTGGTATAGTCACACAAGTGCGACTAAAGTTGACTAAGATAGTTATTAAAATAATGAATAAAATAGCTAAAACTTGATTTCTCCGTGTAATATTATTAATCTCCTATGTAACATAGCCTTGATATTCAGGTAATATTATGTACAACTTAGAAGCAGAGTACAAAAAGTTTTATGAAATTTAAATATTGTTTTTTCGAGCAGAAACGTGTGACTCGTGCCACAATTTTAGCTTTGTCAATACTAGGATATACTATATATCTGATTTTTACTTCCTGTTATTTCCATGACACTTGAAATAACCTTGGCAAAATTATTTCAAATGTAATATATAAGAGAATATATTTGTGCAATTTCAAGTTTTTAGTTGAATAGAGAAATACGTGTAATCGAAAAAGTTTTTTCGAAAAGAATATAACACTTAATTTGAGTTCTTTATACTTTGATTACAACCGCGCAATTTATCTACTTATATGTTCTTTATGTGACTGACATTCACTTACAAACTGTAATCCATTCTTCAATTGTACAATTTTGACATTGAACAAAACAACACCAGTAGAATTTGCAGCGACACTTTTCAACTCTACGTTGTCGCACAACATTGTAACCCCTACCACAACACAAAGATGCACATCCATCCCCAGATGAGCTTGTCCTGTTACATCTACGTCCTGTTGTACCAGCAATGTCAGCAGCTTGATCCTTTTCACAAAAATTGGGAGATCTTTGGTAGTAAAATAATTGCTTAGACAGATCACGAATCTTCAGTTTTCGTTCTCCCATTTTATTTGGACGCTTCCGATGTTTTTGTTTAATTGGTCTCCTGCGTCGCGATCCTCTACTTTTTGTTAAAGGGGTTATACTACCCAAATTACTTTGTGCAACAAGTATAGCTTTCCTAAAACGATCCTTGAGTGTTTTTCCTACAACTCGGAATTCTGATGCTACCTTCCAACAAGTTTTTAATTCACAAGAACCTGACATGCCGTGACACTTGCATCGAACTTGCATTGTACTTGCAACGGCCTGAAATCAAAATTGTCATCAAATTCTTCTAATAATATTAACTGTTATTTCATGTTATAATAAGGCTTAGGATAATAGCTTGAAACTTTATATTGTCCTCAGGACAAAGACTATTCTGTGCCTACTGGCCAATAGGTTTATTTTTCTGTTTTCAAAAGATAAATTTGGCTAAAATTTATATTTGAAACATTGATTTTTTTTAGATATTACAGGCCAATGAAAACGACTGAACAAATTTTATATATGGTTTTACTTTCGGCAGCTCACTTGATCTACGCTCAGACGCACGCTCTAATGCTAGTCGGGTAACCTTTGGCCACTCATTGCTACTTGAATGGTATCAGCGAATTCGCTCCAGCATCGATCGAGTTATTCGATGCGAAGCCCAAATTCATATTAAAATCAGTTCAGTCAAGTAACTTGCTTTGTCAACGGAGGTTAAAATTATAATTAGCAAAATTTAAATTACGGTATAATGGATCTTATGTTTATTTTTATCTTATTAATTTTTTTAATATGTTCAATATGTTACATGTTTTATTTCTAATTCAAGTAATTTGATTTAGAATTTATTAGGTGAACATGGCCAATTTTAAAAATATTTTCTGCCTTAAGGGCATTAGGAAAAAGTCCTTCAAAAAAGTGGTTTTCTGCTTGTCTTTACACTCTTAAATGCGAAGACATATCGAGCTCGGAGTTATTGGAACAATTAGAAGTGAGCAAACAGATGAAAAATTTTCCCCATATTTATAAGCAATTTTGTATATAAATATTGAAAAACATTTGTATAAAAGTTGCATTTTTGGCGGAAATGAGAGACAATGAACGCAAACAGACATTATATCTATAAATGGCACACGGAAAAGAAGATAATGAGAAGTAATTTCCGATGCCACTTTTTTTCCGAGATGTTCTTCATGATTTTAGCAGTTTATTTAGTATATTAAAATTTCAGCAATTACATAAATGTTATAAAGTGTACTTACTAATCTACCAGCTCGATTATTATGTAAATTGACAGTTGATTGTATATCTCCAGCTTTTTCTAAAGAATCTAGGAACTGTTTTGAAAAGTCCATTCCATATTCAACATTGTGAGAACATCCACCCCATTTCCACTGAATATTTCTATCTTTGGTAACTGCTTTTCCTTTGTAACTTGAAGGATCGCAACCACAGGATAATAAACGCCCCATACTGCATGCACGAGCTACACTGTGAGCTATTCCAGCCGCTGAAATAGCATAAGCAAATGCTGTTTCTTTATATCCTGAAACAAAAATAAGTATTTCCAAATTATGTGATTGTGGAAAGTTATTCTAATCTTAATTAAACTTGGCGCACTTCATCTTGAAACTACTCCATTGCAGCAAGAGTTTAGTGTAATTCAAAATTTCTTTCAGCTGCCTAGTCCTAGGTTAGCCTAACTTTGGCCTTTCTTTTTGTATAATAATCAAATGTAAGCGTAGCATAGTGGTTAGCATATGAGACTTTAGTGCGTCAGGTTAAGGGCCTATCCCAGTAAGAGTTAGATGTTTTCGAAAATATTTGTAGAGATTGCGTTTAATAATAATAATTGTAAAAATAATTTAATTTTTTAATTATTTTATTTAAAGTTGGGTGAACTTTGGGATCAGTTGCACTGAAAAAACCTAGGTTCAAATTGAGTAGCCTACGCTACTCAATTTGAAACAACAAAAATGAACCTCGTAGGTGGCGCCACGTTTTATGGCGTTTAAAATGGGCTCATTTTGATTGGCAACAAAAATAAACCCAGGTTTCTTGTATGTACATTATTTTGCTTTGAATATTTGGCCTTGCCTTGGTTCGACCAAGAACGTGATGCCGAACCCACATAAACTGCGGGAAACAATAAACACAAAACTCGACTAAATTGTTATCAATTAGCTTAGTTCTATAAATTAAAAGCTAAGAACTTGACAAACATTTCATTTATTTATTAAACACATTATTTAAATGCGTTCTTTTTTTGACTCAGATAATTAACATTAATAGTTATACTTTACACGCAAAAAATATTTTATCTGAAACATCTACTAATTTTATTATATTAGCGAAATTTATAGTTGCTTTAGTTAAGACTTTCGCTATTTTAGAGAAAAAATTATCGCTGTTCTAAGTAAAATATGTTTTCCGTGTAATGTTTACAAGTATACTATTGCATAGAAAATATTACATTATAATAGACTTTTGCTCAAGTTTAAATTATTGTTTTAATTTAAATGGAAGCTTACCTCTTTGAAGTAAAACACTGCTTTGTTGTGTTCTGCTGCTAGGTGTAAGAGAAGAACAATTCCACCTATGCCACATAAACTGATGCTGACATTCAGATATAGCCAACTGAAGACCCTTCACAGCAGCACCTGTTACGTCCGGCTTTTTATGACATAGTTCTCGTTGTTCCTTAGTTAAACCTGGTATTCCATTACATACCACAGAATTTTCACTCATCCATTCATCCATAGAATTGCTTATGAGGCATGTTACTCTATAATGGAAAAATTAATGTGTGTTAGTGCACTAATAATTGTTAATATAAACCAAATAAAAATTCCGAGTGTGAGGATTTGTAAAATTTTATTAAAAAATGCTAAAAGCGTTCAATCTCATGACGAAAAAATTTATCATCCCCCACCCGAATCCAAATTTTCAGCAATATTAACATTTCCATAATATTAGAAACGTTGCTCTCTTGAATTGAATCAGTCAAATTTCACTAATTCGCACAAAGAGAGAAAGGAATAGTTATAGGGTAACCATTTTTCCCGAGATAATTTTTAGTTGATAAAATACATACTGTTGCTAATTTATTGGTTGGGGTTACGATCTTTATATTAGTAAACTTAGCAATTTCATTAGTTGATTCCATTACTTCTTTTACTGGTCTACCTATTTAATTAGTTAGGTTACTAACTAAATAGTAACAGTAACTAATACAAATTATAGCAGTGACCTTATTACTGCCCGTGTAGAAATTTGTCGTGGGTTCCTATAGTGTTAGCCTATAGCTAGACAGTTTTTGTCGTAGAATTTTATTCTTAAATAACTGTCCTGGTCCCGTAAAGTTAATGTACAGTTCCAGATATCAACTCTGAAAATTTAGATGATCAACTAAGACAACAATAACATGTGAAATATAATAATCTAACTGGAATGAAAAATTGTGATGTGTAAGAAATAATTTTGTAATTTATTTGTAATAGTAAAGATTTTTTTGAATATACATAATATGTATATACATATTATTAACGTATATAAATATTCAACATTTATAGGAACATTTATTTATATTTTAATATCGTGGATTTGTCCAGGAACGTTCTATTTTATTATAGACAGCCGGCCTATATATCCACGATAAATTTCTACACGGGTAACCAAATAGTAGTAAAAACTAATCATTTCTCTCAGTGAAAATGCCTGAAAATCAGTGAGAGTTGAATGATTTAAGTCGCCAGAAGTGACTCACTGATTAAATTTAAGACATTGCTGAAACTTACGATTCTGTGTGGATGTGCATAATTGAGTAAAAACGTAACTACTCTTACTGATAGAAAGTTCCTAGAAAAAGGATTAATTCAAACGCAGAAATTAAATACAATTGAATATAATCCAAATAAATTAATATTATTGAAGTAAAACATAACATTGATATAGTTAATGTGAAATTTTAATTAATTTTCATTATACATTCAGTTCATTTTACTTTCTGCATTTGAATCACAGCTCTTAAGATATATATATTTATTTGGAATTCCTTAGAACTTTTTGTGGTACTTAAATGCAGAAGAATATGGTTTTTCTTAATTTTTCAATTTTAGTTAGTTTTTTAGAAAGGCTTTTCTTTAGCTAGAAAATGAAAAATCAGTTTGGGGAGAGTAAAAAAGTTCATTCTGGAAAAGCAATGGATGGGAAACGCTGTCAAAAATATGGTATTTGGCCCATAACTCGGTCAATATTAAAAATATCAAAAAACCTTAAACATAAAAATGTAAAAAAAAAATGTTGTAGTTCTTATTGAAACACACTTTTTTCTAAACTGAGAGAAAAATATAAAAAATATAATATATACATATATAAATTTGGGCATGTTACAAACACCATATATATATATATATAATTTCTTTTTCTCTTTAAACAGACATTAATAAGCTCTAAAAGCATCAGTCAGTTCAGATACTGCTAAAAGCTGGTACAGTATCGAAAAGTTTAAATGCCTATGTTTTATGATTTCGGTCTCCTAAAGTGTTTATACGTAAAACAGACTCCTTGCACAATCTTACAAGTCGTAACTAAAAAAAGATTAAGGAGATGAAGTTCAAAAAATTATATTTATTAAAATAGAAATTACAAGGTTCAATTTTTTGCCATAGTAAAACTTGTTATTATTGTTTAGGATAATTATTATTAAATTTGTTTGTTTAATTGTAATTTTCAACTTCATACTCAACAAAGTATAATATATGGGTGATTCTTCTGAAAGTGCTACTTTTGAAGTTCGATTTTTTAACTTATTTTTTTTTTAAATAATATGGTTTTTTCTATTGAACTTACTTTATTTCGTACTCAGGAGTAAGAATTCAAGTTGCGCAAAATTAATTGTTCAAAATATTAAAGTTTTTCTTCTTTTAAAAGATTGTCTTTGCGTTGCATCAATTGATTGGTTATATTTGTTTCGCGTTAGATTTTTTTATTAAATATATACACTAATATCATCCACTTAATTCATAATACAATTACACTGTTTAAAAAATAATAATCTGCATATTTTAATAATAAATATATATATTAATTTGATAGTTATTTAGGTTAATATTTTCAATTTAATGCAGGTAAATACTAAAAACAAAAGAAAAATTTGCCCATTTCAAGGAAAAGGCTTCGGAGATGAAAGCTTCGGAGATGAAAAATAAATTTTTTTCACATTTATTCACATTAGGGCGGAATTAAAATATATTTTTTTAATAAAATATACAAATTTCACAACGCAATTTTATATTATAGTAAAAAATATTTCGTCAAAGTTATTCGTATATTCAATTATTTAATAAAGAGCAAGGCTTCGGAGATGAAATTGAATTTTTGCTCGGGACAATAAGTAAAATTTGACTATTTATAGAAGGAATAATTCCTCTCCTTTTCACAAATAATATATGGGCAAATTAAACATCAGATTCTCAACTTTATTAAATTATGCATTAAAATTTTATTAAGAATACTTTTAATGTACAAAAATATCATTAATCATCGTGAGGTAATTTTAACCTAAAACCGAAGACAAAGTTTTAATATTTTTATCATATATAAAACAGAGGTCTTAAAATTTAAAAAAAAAATACGTTATGACAGAAAAACATTGTACTTTCTGACAATATTTTCAAAAAAATTTCTAACAGTTGGAAAAAAGCATAGAAATTTAGTTTTCTTATAGAAGTCCTATTGGAGACATGCAAAAAAGGCTTCGGAGATGAAATTATTTTAGCTCTTGTATAAATTCAGTAGAATAAAATTGTTTAATTTCTTTTTTTTAATGAAAAGTAAGTGCTAAATTTTTATTATGAAAATAATTAACAATTATTAGTGAGTAGGGTAGAGTGGGGTAAAAAAGCCATGGTGTAAAAAAGCCATTTGAGTTTTATTTAAAAACTATTAAGCCGATTTATCAGCTGTTTAGAATATAAATACTATTAGGTAATACGCAACTTTTGAATCCAGTTTGAATGTTGTACCTAGAATAATATTGTTTTTATTGTAATTTTAATTTTTTGTTGCTTTTTTGAAAACATTTTGGTGAACTTTTCAAACATAATACAATCTGATTAAGTGAACGAATAATAAAAGTAAATGTTTGTACATAAGGAGAAAAGTATACCGAAAACGTATACAATGTTAATTTTTGGAAATTGAACTGAATTAACAATTTATTTTTGCTTTTTTTAATAACTGGTCTTGGGTGTAAAAAAGCCAGGGCAAAAAATCCATTGAATATTTTGTGAAATTCACTTGTTTTCTATTTAAACTAACCTTCTTATTTTACAAAATTTCTCGTGTTTATTTATTAAAATTAATTAAACACGACGAAAAAGTAGTTCAAAGTGCATTTAAAAAATAAACAATGAATAAACGGTTGCAACGAAATATGTTATCTGTGGTAAAACTTAAAGAGAACTTCTAAAAAAGGTACGAAAAATTGGCAGTGCAAATGGAAAACAGGTAAACTTAATATAATTTTCAATTTTGCTTGCTAAAAACTCTTTCATAATTATTAGAATATTTTTCAAATAAGACTATTTGTCATATAAATAAAGGGAAACTATAAAAATACCTAAATTGATAACATGTTTTGCTAAAATCGTAGGGTGGCTTTTTCACCCCACCAGGTGGTGCAAAAAAGCCACTTGCAGTGCTTTCGTAAAACTCTTATAACTTAGTCCTTTCATGAGATAAAAAATATTTCCGTCAAGAATTTTCAAGCTTAATAACTAAACTTTCAATAACAATTGGAAATTTGAGAAAAAAATTTTAAATACAGATTTTACAACATCAAAAGTAAAAATGTGGCTTTTTTACCCCACTCTACCCTAGATTTTATAAAATTAATCGAGACATCAAAAATGTCACTTCACAGAGAAAAGCGAGTGTTGTTTTTGATGCGGGTAAATTTTGGTAGGGTAATTTTAGTGAGGATAAATTTTCTAGAATAGAAAATTTACCTTATTTTCAGTGTTAAAATAACACTTCCGAGCTAAAGTTTGATGCAGACACTTTTAACACCGAATTCAGTGTTAAAATAACACTCACTTTTTTCTGTGTTTCAGAAGAATCACCCATATGCTACTATTGCATTCTCATCACATATTTTATTTTGCTGATATACGAGATTAATTGTACGTAAATGTAAATAAAAAAATTCCTTCAACTGCAGTCTGTTGCGTAAAACCTATACCTGGGTATATATATATATATATATTTTGTAGCTGTATATTTACATATTTTTGGGTTGTTATTACAATTTATTTAAAGTTGGCCCAACTATTGGCGGCAGGATGAGTTGCCCAAAAATTCGCATTTATGTACTAGAAAGAGCGGTAAATTTAAATATTGAAAAAAATTTAAATAATCCACTCTTTCTAGTAACTTTCTGATGGTAACGGTCCTCTTAAACTAATATATACGATGCCGTGCAGAAATTTGAGTCGGGCCCTGATCGGGGCCAGATCTGGAAATCCAGCCTGGCCCCGGCCTAGGTGAAACAATGAAGCCGACCGGGGCCATGCCCGGGGCCCGATCTGGTTCCATAGCACGGCCCCGATCTGGGCCATGGAAATTTTTCCGATTTGACAGGCATTGAAATTTTTGTGATAAATACGCTAATAAATGGAAAGAATTTGGTTCATATTGCTAGTAAATAATGTTTACTAATTTTAATTGACTGAAACAAAACTGCTTCCACTATTCCTAAATTTACGCGCTTCTCGCGTTCATTCA